AATATTGAAAAAAAAATGTATTTATTAAGTGACACTGAGTTTGATAATGAAAATGTTGAGTAACTTAAGTTGTATTTATTAAGTGACACTGAGTCAATTCGGGTCAGTGGGTCGGGTTCGGGTCGAACCCGAAACTGACCCGGCACTATTCAGGTCAACCCAAACCCGACCCGTTTTAAAAATGGGTCAAATTTCCGGACCCGAACCCGACCCGATTCGGGTCCGGGTCAACCCGACCCGACATGAATGACCCGAAGTTGACCTAAAATTGCTAATTTTCGGGTCAAAAATTGGGTCAATATTCGATTTTTGGGTCAAAATCGAGTCAAAACCGGGTCAATCTCGAGTTTTCGGGTCAAATATGATTTTTCGTGTCACTTTCGGGTCAATTTCGGGTTGTTGGGTCAACCCGAACCCGACCCGATTTTTAAAACAGGTTGATTTGTTCAACCCGAACCCGGATTTTTCCGGGTTGGGTTCAGGTCGTGTCAAAAACTGACACCCCTACATATTTTAAAGATATTTTTCATCTTAAAGTATCAAATATTGCTCCAAGTCTAGTATTATCTTTGGGACAAAATGTCAAACTATAAAACTTGGACTCCCCTTTTGCAATAAGAGTTGCATTGAGAGAAAGTGCAATCCCTTCTAACGGGTGCATCTAAATAATTGTTCTTGGGAATGTGAAAGCTATACCAAAAGGTAAGGCCATTCTAGGTGGCAACTAGCTCAAAAATACATAAAAGATAAAAGGTCAAATAAGACTTGAAATATTTTTCAAACAATAATGATGTATCCAAATTTGTCTATGAATGATGTCCGACTTCAGTAGCTAACAGTCTACTAAGTAGAAACTAAAGAGCTGAGAGAGGTTTGATGAGTACGGAAAGTGAGGGAGAAATGAAAGCTCAAAGTATGCCAAAGGATAAAAAAATAACCAAAAGATTTAAAATGTGCTTCTTCATCCTTTATTTATAATGCTTAGAGGTTACGTAGAAGGGTAAACAAAAAAAAAAGTATATATATATATATAATGCAAAAGAAAAAAAAAACAACAACATCAAGCCTTTATCCCACTACTTGGAGTTGGCTACGTGAATTATTTTTTTCATTGTCATATTAAAAGTCAAATTCTCATTTAAAGCTAATAAGAAAATGTCATTTCTAATACTTTATAATCAAGTTTGTTTAGGTCTACATCTACATTTCTTAACATAGGCTAAATCTAACACATATGCTCTATTAATCGGGTCATCGGAATGCCAACATTTTATATAACTAAACCATCTAAGGTGACTCTCTCTAGTTTTATATGGCAATGAAGCTACTCTAACCTTTTCATGTATATACTCATTTCACACTCCTCTAAGTGTAAGCCAGTCATCCACTTGAGCATCCTCATCTTTCCAACACTTAACTTAATTTTATGATCTTTTTTAAAGGCCAACATTCTGCACCTTAAAGCATTCCAGGTTTCACCACCACCTTCTAGAAATTTCCCTTAAGTTTGAGGGGTATTTTTCTATCACACAACATGCCTGCCGCATTCCTCCACTTAAATCAACCAACTTGAATTCTACTAATAATATGTCCCATCTATTTCACTATCATTTTGAATAATAAACCCAATATATAAAAAATGTGTAGTCTTTTTAATGACTTGATCACCCAAAATCATAATCTCCCTGCTAGATCTATTACTACTATAATTACACTCAATATATTTGATTTTAGATCCACTCAAACTAAAACATTTAAATGCTAAGGTTGACCTTATAATTCAAGTTATCCTTCAACTCACTCTCAAGTCTTATTAATAAGAAAAATATCATTAGCAAAAAGCATACACCAGGGTACATCCTCTTGCAAATGTATAGTAAGAACATCAACGATTAAAGCAAAAAGATATGAGCTTAAAGATGATCATTACTGTAATCCAACTGAAATAGGAAACTACTTGGTAAAATTACCTTGTGTTTGAATACAAGTAACAGCTTCTACATACATATTCTTAATAACTTAAATATAAGCATTATTAAACTCCTTTCTTTTCTAGAACTCTCCAGAGCACTTCTCCTGAAACTTTATCATATGCTTCCTCTAAATCAATAAATATCATATGTAGATCCCCCTTATTCTCTCTAAACTTCTCCATCAAACCTCTGAATAAAAGTATAACTTTCATGGTATACCTATCCAACATGAATCTAAATCGAGTTTGAGAAACATTAGTATCACGTCGTAGCCTAAGCTCAATTACTTTCTCCCAAAGTTTTATTGTATGACACATTAACTTAATTCCTCTATAATTCACACACTCTAAAAAATATTAATATTCTAGCACTACTAAATAAAGTTTACTATTTTTTTGTGATTATACATTGTAAAATATGTTTATACATCAAGTTTCCTTAAAAGCAGCTAAAAATGGTGGTAAAAAATCATCCTAAAACTAATATTTTATGGCTAAACACAAAACAACTTTTATCAAGGTATGAAATCTGACTCTATAAAATGAATTGAGCAGAAGAAAAGAAAGGAGAATAAAATGATGGAAAATAAGATATTAGATTTGCTAAAGAGAATTTGTGCCTAAATGTAGAGTTTTCTTCCTGATCCATGCACATAGTTATGATTTCTTCTCTATATGTCATATTCATTTGGATCAGGCTAAATTCTAACGAGAACAGGAACCAAATTTAATAAGCAACTAATCATTGAACTGGCTCAAGTAAATTTCAAATTGGAATTCTACTCAAACATCCTAACCAACTAAAGGAACTGCATTTAAGAACAACCACAAGGATTCATCAAGAGTCCCTGCTGATGTATTAAGAAAAACTTGCCTGAGAACCATCCTACTTGCTAGGAGTATCCTCCAAGTTAACAAGAGTGCTCACTGACTTGTTTAACGCACCCTCCAACTCTGTGATAGTACTAATAAGAAGCTTATAATTCTCACCTAGGATAGTGCTGTGTTCCTAGCATATTAACCTTTAGTACTCATCAACTTTTTTTTAGGGTACTCAGCCATGATTACTCGCTAGCTACCTCACCGACTACAATAGGATCATCATATTTCTTTTATGTGATATATCAAGGTTTTGTTTGGGACAACTTTTTTATTATTTTTCAAAATAACTTTTTAGTACAAAAATTTTCAACTAAAAAAATTTTTATACTAGTAAACTGTTTTAGAAAGTATTAAGAAAACTACCCAAACCAAGCCTAAGGCTTCATTTGGGATAGCTTTCGTACTGCTTTTTGAAACGACTTTCTAGTACAAAAAATTTAAATTCAAGAAATTTTTGTACTAGAAAGTTTTAAAAAGCAATAAGAAAGCTGTCCCAAACGAAGCCTAAGTTGTCACTTCTATATTATCAACTTTATATTTGAGCTATTATGGGAGATTTGAGGTCAAGCACAAGCACAAAGATACAAGAACTGAGACAAAACTAGAGCACTGAAATCTAGGCCAATCTTAAGATTCCCTTCCTCTATCGTCTCTAACTTTATCAATTAACCATTTCTATGTAAAGGGATCAACCTAATTTTCTGTAGTTGAACTCGGTTAAATGAGCATGTTCTCTCTCATTTTTGAGTTCCCTCAATTCCAATATGCTCTAGTATCAAGTAGAATGTGACTATTATCCACCAAATATTTTTTTGGATTCAACACTCTATATCAAGATATGAAGCTGAGAGAGAAGACCATCAGCCAAAAAGAACAAAATTTTCTTATCATCTACAAGAAAAGAACCCTAATATATATAGTAAGAACCAAAGATGGTATAAACTTAACAGCTAAAATAAAATTTCTCGATTCTCATGCACCATATTACCATGCATGAATATTTTTTCCACTTTATATAATACCTCAATTCGCATGAAATACCAGAAATTTGATATGCATTAGAATACTCATTCTTTTCAAATGTTTTTGCTCTTACAAGTCCTGAAAGTTTTATCCAGATTGTAAGCACTGTAAAGGGCGCCACCTGCCCTCTCCTGAATAATTGGACTAGAATATCAGATAGACTCCTATAACATAGACAGACTGAGGTCATTCTAAGCAACAAAAGTGAATAGAAAACAACCTTTTCCTCGACAAAAACTATCAATTTAACTTATGGTTGATATGTTTTCGTAAAACATCATTCTTATATATGGGGATATTTTCAGTGAATTGTCATCTTGCATACAAAAACAACAACAACAACAAGCCTTTATCCCACTACATGGAGTCGCCTACATGAATCCTTTTTATCCATTGTGTCTTGTTAAGAGTCAAATTCTTATTTAAATCTAATAAAGAAAGGTCATTTTTAATATTTTCTAATCAAGTCTTTATTTAAGTCTACCTCTACCTAAAATAATCGATTTGTCGTAACAGAAGTATCAAAGAAGCGACTCCCAAACCAAAAGCAACCTTCTCTTCAATAAATAATATTAATTTGGCATATGGTGAAATGTTGTCGCAAAACATCATTCTTATGATATGAGGAAAAGAAATTGGAAGATCAACCTTGCACATATGAAGATGTTTTTGGGGAATTGATAGGAAATTGATCATTGCATATACATCAAAGGAGTGATTCTGAAACAATAGGACCCCATTATAGCACATATATGACTAACAAAAATCCTTTATAAGTAAGAATAATGTTTTCACTCTCCAAAATGAATCCACACATAAAATAGATTTATTTCATTTTTCTGATCACATCAGCATATATGTGGAATACATTTCCATTTAACATAGACATATACACATCCACATCATCAATGACAGAAATTAATAAAATCTCAAAACTTCTGAGATTTACTGGAGTGTAGCGGAACTTTATCAATAATTCTTTAATATTTCTATAAGTAAGAAATTAATATTGATCAATCACATGCTGTCATATAAGTGCTGATTAATGCAAACTATATGGCAGCGGGTCTGTGGATATTTTCGCATCTAAAAGAACTCAAGGCATCTATATATCAAATCAATATTGTAAAGAGTGCAATATATAGCAAGAAGAGAAACTTAGAGGAGAGTTTTCACTATGTATTAATTACAGAAGCTGTTGGATATCTGACCAAGTTTGGGATAAGGGGTTAAACTGAATGGGTAAGCAAAATGCAGAACGTCACTCAAAATCTTTCAGATTGCATATAACGGTTCATAGCTTTATAGCATCAGTGCATATTACAACAATGGAGTTTTTTCGAGTCAATTAAACTTTCCAACACTCTTCCTGCTCTTTGCTCCTTCTGTGACTACATCTGCCAGTTTATGATTGTTATATTAGATGACCAAGGTAGGGAAGTTTTGCCAGAAAAGCTAGAAAACATGATGTTGAATGCCCAAATAAAGAATCGAACCCCAGAATTTCTAGGACTATTATGGATATAAAGATGACATGTCTAAATGGTGACATGAATGAAATAAATTATATGATTCAACCAAAAAATTGTGTTAGGAGACACAAAGAAGATGGTTTGTAAATTAAATGACACAATCAGCTTAAGTAAGCTTCTGATCAATAGTATTACAAATGTCATCAAATAATAGTCTTGTTTGGTTTTGAGATAAATGTAGTTGATGATTGTGCATAGAAAAAGCTCAGTGGGAGTAAGTATATTGCCCTGATACTAAATGTGGATGGTATACTACTTGCTAGTAACAATATAGGCTTATTACACGAAATCAAGAGAGTGTTATCAAAGAAATTTGAAATAAAATATCTTGATGATGATTCTTTTGTATTAGGTATACGAAGACATCGAGGTCACTCCCAGTGTATACTTAATATCAAAAAAGAGCTGTATTGAGAAGGTACTTAAGAGAATTAACATGAAAAATATAAACCAAGTGACACTCCTGTTGCTAAGGGAGACAAGGATGCCATAAAAATTTTTGAAATTAAAGAAATGCAAATGATTCCCTATGTATTATTTGTTGGAGTTTAATGTACTCAAGTTTGTACATGTCCAGATATATCATATATTTTTGGAATGCTAGGCAGATATTTACATAATCCTAATAAATATCATTGGAAAGCAGCCAAACGGGAAGTGATGCATTTATAGAGAACAAATGATTACATACTCACATATAGGAAATAAGACCAATTGAAAATTATTGGATATTCTAATTCATATTTTGTTGGGTGACAAGATATTTAAAGATCTACATCATGCTACATTACATGCTTGCCAAAGGAACAATTTCTTATAAGAGTGTCAAGTAGACTCTCATAACATCTTAAAGCATAATAGTGGAGTTTATAGTATGTTATGAGGCATCCAAATATGAAATATAGATGGAAAATGTTGTCACTCAGTTGCAAAATTTGGAAGAAATTGAAAGACCATGAAAGCTATTTTCTAACAAGTCAACAGTGATGTATTCGAATAATAATAGGAGCTCATCAAAATCAAAGCATATAGACATCAAGTTCCAAGTTGTTTAAGAAGAGGTCAAAGCATATATTTTTCTATAGAGTATATTTGTACAAACTCTATAATTGTGGATCTAGTTACCGAAGGACTTCCACCAAAAGTCTTTTATGAGCATATCAAGGTTTAAAATTCCGTATTCGGGTATTGAGGCGTTTTTCGTTCGTGAGGCGAGGCGTAAGCCTCAAGGCGATTTGAGGCGTAAGCCTCAAAATAAAAAAATTGCGTAAACATAAAATAATAAATTTTGTATATACTAATGAGCAAATAATATATAAAACATAAAAATGCTACATACCACATCTTTGAGAATAAATAAGGGAGACATCACATAAGAACTCACTAGTCATCAGCACTGTCCATCACTCATCAGTCATCACTAAGGGGGTCTTCATTTGAATCATCATTATGATGAACTGCTCTCTCCTCTTCCCCCTCTCCTATAGAGTTCAATATCTCCCAATCAGCTTCTTCTTCCTCATTATTAGTTATCTTCCTCTTCCCTAAATATTTTTGAATAATATCATAATGAATAATAGTGTAATACATTAATAAAAGTCTAAGAAAAGAAAACTATATTATTTATATACATTTTTTGATTTGTTCTTGAGTTGTTGTGGATGTGGATGCTTTAAGACCATCAAAGAAATCAACATTTAAATCTTCATATTGTAATTCAGACGACATCACTTCAACTTCATCATCTACAAATCACTCATCATCAGATGCCACATCATCGCAAAGCAAAGGATCTTCATCATCCATTAATCCTTTTTTCTTCAAATTTCTATCTTTGAGTCCCTATTGTACATAATGTATACAGTTGAGTTCATCCTCAATGTCGAAAGCAATTTCTCCTTTTGTATGTCTTGGTGTAAGTACTCAATTTCTTTCACAACTAGATAAGAGCATGTCAGCCCAAACTTTCAAAGCAAAACCTGTATATCGTAGTCTCATCACAAATTGAATCCACCACTCAACTGGAGATCGTTTGGCAATTGTATTATTTTGCTTGTTGTAATCCAAAAAAAACCCTCTTTGTTCCTAAAGGTACCAATTGCATCGTAGCATTTTGATTTTCAGTTTGCCAGTCACTTATTTAGACGATCCATGCAATGATATAATCCCAACTTAGTTTCAGGTAGTTGTAGGACTTTCTCTGCATATTGATACTGAGGGTTTATTAGTAGCCAGCGGCATGCAAGCTGTCGATGCAGCTCGTAGTTCCCACCATATCGATTCAATAATATTCCAAATTTTTCCCTAAAGCTCCCTCACTGCCTCTAGATTGGAGGCAAGTCATCTATATTGGCTTCATCCATTGGCATTGTAGATGAAACCCATATGCAGGCTTCTTACTCACAGTGCACTACCATCCTTAAAATTGAACTAAAGGTACTAAGTGGTTGGATATGACATATAAGACACTTTTCCAAATTTCTGTCATTTGAAAACAATCTTTCTAATTCTCTTTTCCCTCAGCCTTCTTCCGCCCAAGCACAACTCAACGACTGTGTAGATGGTGAACATTCTCTAAAGTTGCCTGGCAATCCAGCATAGCCTCTCTAAGCGTCAAGTAAGCGGGTGCGCAAATCTTGTTCTGCGGCTGGCCTTTAGAATTTCTTCTTAGAAAACTTTCAATAAAGCTAGACAGCAAGAGTGGTTGTAAATAAACTTGGTTATTTTTTGGCTTTAGTGATGCATTTTTATGTGAGGTAGCCCCCAAGCTTCTAAGAATCAGATCTAATGCAATGTGCACACATGTGAGTCCAGTAACAAATGTTTCCTCTTCTCCATAAGTTTATACCTGCCAGCCTTATAAGAACTTGCATTATTATCTGTCACAATTTGTACAAACAAATGTTCTTCAAACCATCAATTAATACGTATCTAATAATCCAAAATATGAACTAGCATCTTTGACCTGAAGTTTTTTTTTTACGTTATTTCCTTTTAAGGGTTTGGGCTGATCAGTTCCGAGATTAGAGAAACTGGCAAATGGATAACCAATTATGTCAGATTGGGTGGTCTTGATATCAAGCATAGAAGTCTTGATCAACACCTCTTAATAATCCTTAAATGGTACTGTTCGTGTTTTTAATTTGGTTGTAAGTCGTTGTGGATCTTCAATTGACCTTAAAAATATAGTACCATAAGGATTATTAATGAGGATGTTGATCAGACTTCTATGTTTGATATCAGACCACCCATCTGACATAATTGTTACTCCTATTTGGGCCCAAGTCTTCTTAATTTCTTCGATGCTTTTATCAGTGCTTTCCAACTTCTCCTTCAAAATCCATGTTCTTAAATCATACATGGATGGAGGTTTGAACCCTCTCCCAAATGATCCAACTGAACGAATCATGTTGTAATAAGCAGGTGATGTGGCAACATTAAATGGAATTACATTTTCGTAGAAGAATCTGTCTATATCCTTACACACTCTTCTCTGCGCCTTCTTTGTATTTTCTAGGGCCATCTTCTGTGTAGTAGAAGGTCTATCCTCTGATGTGTCAACCATATAATGATCCATAGGCCCTCTAGCACCCCTAGATGAAATGGGCTTCATAGAAGAAGATGAATCCCTAACGCTGCGCTCACTCCCGTAGTAAGATCCAGCATCAACTCTATCCTCAAATTGTTTCTGTGCAAGATGTTTTGATGTGGTAGACTTATTCATGTATGACTTTATCTCATCCCTTACAGCATCAGGAACTTTGGAGCATGGAGCAACATTCTTGTGAGAACCTGAAAGGTGTTCCTTCATCCTAATCACACCACCTTTCACAACTTTATCACAGTAATTGCATTTCAGATAGACATATGTTTTATCACTGCCTCCTACATCCACCTGAGTGCTATATTTACATGCTGGATCTTTTCTATGACCTGATACATCCTTATCCTTATTTCTGACCATCCTGATTAAGAAAAATAGGAAGTGAACGAGTTCTTACTAATCTTTTCTATGACCTGATGCAGGTCGGAGGAGACAGCAGCCTCGGTCAGAAGCGGCCGCGGGTCGGACGGAGAAGACAGCAACCAAACTCGTAGTAGAAGAAACCTCCAGGCAAAGAGAGCAGCTCTCGTTTAGGGTTTAGTATGCGAACTGGATGTGATCACTGTTCAGTATTATATAATGTTGAGCCGTTGATTAATTTTGTGTGTTCAGTTTTAAGTTGTGCATATGTTACGCGTATATACTGCGTATGTTATGAGTAAACGCTGCGTAAGGTGTGCGTATATTGAACACTGCGTAAGGTGTGCGTATGTTGTGCGTGTATTATGCGTATGCTATGAGTAAATACTGCGTATGTAATGAGTAAACACTGCGTATGTAATGCGTATTTAAGCAGAACACTACGTATATTTTGTAAAACTTCTTCCAATATGATTGTCAATGTACATCTTAATGCGCTGTAACTTAATTTACATCTTCAACAACATCAACTTTCCTACAGGAATTATGATTGTTGGATTGTCCAATATAAATCATCTTTACAACCAAGCCCTTCTATTCATTACTGCGATATTTATCCTCCTTCCATGGACATGGAAGAAGGATAAATATCGCAGTAATGAATGGAAGGCTTGGTTGTCAAAGATGATTTATATTGGACAATACATCAATCATAATTCATGTAGAAGCTATAACCTATGTACATTCTAATAAAAAAATTAAACCAAAATAATTACAAGAGAAGCTAACATACGCATATCATAACATAAAATAAGTTGCAATTTTTTTACCTTCAATTAAACTTTCTCAAACTTTCTTGCACAAAATTTCTCTTCTCATGACTCAAACTTAGAACACCTTTGTAACTTTCTATTTCACTTGAATAGACATAAGTTACAGGATTTATAGGAATCTCATCGACTCTACTGGTTCAGTTAGATTTGTATATGGAATAAGTTGCATTTATTCAGGGATTGGCTGATTTTGTGGGATTGGGTTATTGGGGCTGTGGGTAGGGATATCTGATTTATGTCTCTTATTGGAAGATGAAGAGTAGCTAACAGATCTTTTCTGAGGAATTATTTTGCTCTGATCAATGTAATTATTGAGCTTGACCTAAATAACTCTAACTCTCTCAGTTAGATCTTCAAACTTTGTGCTCAGTCTGTCTTCAAATTCTCGAAAATTTTTTGTGCATGTTTCTTGGCAGGATTTGATTATTCTTTCTTGTAGAGACTGAAGTGCTTCAGCAGAAAAACTTAAGTGTGGTTGTTGAGGAGATTGATGGGGGTCTTGCTGAGGAGATTGGTGGGAGTCTTGCTGAGGAGGTGGGGTATGATGGGGAGATTGGGGGGTTGTTTTGATGGGTGAATATTTCATTAGGGGAATCAGGGGATGGAGGGCTGTCTGATGGATATTTGTTGACATTAACCATATCCATTTCATCCTGGGTAACTGCTTGGAGGACATTATAAATCTGACTTTTGCTTATATTAGAAAATAAGTTAAAAATCATCTCTGTAGTATATACAATATCCGATGACCATCGTAGAAAACGGAGCCTTTTGTCAGCATACAATGGAGCATGAAAAGAAGTATGCTCCAGGAACCAAATCTGCATAAGATGAAAGAAAATTTTAGCACTCACATTGAGCAAATAAAATTTTGAATGAATTTAGCACTTAGCACTCACAATTAGTAGAGGTACAAAACCATTGATGTAACTTGCTGGCTTCTTATTTGAAATCTTGGAAGATGCATTATTAAACTCTGCAACTAAAAATTTCCTAATTGAACTAGCCCAATTTATTGATAAAAATTCATCTGGATTATTTGCTATTCTTTGAAGCAACCTAGGGATTTTGAAGTTGTTAAGTTGAAAAAGTAAATTTGAACATAAATACATGATAAAGTTTCTTAACATAGTCTTGGGGGGTTTTCTTGTTCATCTCCATCATGTCTGCCTTTATTTCCCTTGATGTAACTGAAGTATGTGCTAAGGAAAGCCAGAAAATTTCTTTTCCTTTATTTGGCAGACCAGTAAGAAGGGCCACTTCATTAGCTGTGAAAGGAATGGCTTGACCTTTTATAACAAAGCATTGTTTTGAAATGTCCCACTTTGAGATCAGCTCATAAATCAGAGGGACATTTTGCTCAAACCCAAAAAATTCCAAAAACTATATGATATTTAAACGTTTTAATGTGTCCTTGACTTCAGAAGTAATTTGCTGAGCAAATACATCACAGTTTGTTCGAAACGTAGAAACGTAGCATCGATAGGTTATTGGACGAACATATATCTGATAATTTTAAAAAATAAAAAATAAGTAAATGAGACACGCAAAAAAAGCACAACGTACGCACAACATGAGCACCTTACACGCACAATGTACGCATAACACACGCACAATGTAAGCATAACACACGCACAATGTACGCATAACATACGCATAAGAACGAACATTGCGTAACATACGCACAATTATACGCACGCATAAAATACACACAACATAAGCATGGCACACGCACAGTGTGAGCATAAAATACGCACATAAAATGCGTAAATATAAGCAATCTAGTTAGGTTTTCTGTTTTAAATTTCAACATAAATTCATCGTAAACCCTGAATACAGAGAAAACACGGTGGCATCAAAGTATCAAATATTTAAAAAATTTCGGGAAGCCATGCATACACATAGAATAAGCATAAAATCCAAAGATCTTCAGAGCCTTGAACACCAACGCATAGCATAACCATAAAATACGCATACGAAACAGAAAACTTAGCATTAAGTTACCTTATTCGTTGGGGTGACGACATCCTAGAAGAAACTGAGTGAAGAATGTTTGAAATTGCTCCGGAGTGAATGCTTGAAAGTTCGAAAGTTTACTGTAACTTGAAAATTGAAACGTCGACTCCGCCATTCGACCTTTACAAAGGTTTAAATGGTGATGCCATGTCGACATTTCAATAGGTGCGCCACGTCGGCAACTGGGGGTCTGAACTGAAAAAAAAAATTTAGGTTAATTTTAAAAAAGGCGACGCCTTAAATATATGAGGCGAGGTGCGCCTCAGTAAACTTGATGCGTAAGCCTCATAAACTAAACTTATTGCGTAGGCTTTGAGGCTTACATAGACGAAATTGCGCTGAGGCGCGCCTTTTATTGCGCAATTTTAAACGTTGGAGCATATTGCTCATATGAGTGTTGTATCATTTGATGAAATACTGGTTTAGTAGGACCTTGTATTTTGAAACTATTTAGTACTATTTTACATATTTTGTATCAAAAAAAAATTTTGAGTAGGAATAAAAAATTCTATTTATTTCACAATGATTTATTTTAAGTTGATCTCACTTAGTAATAAAGTTAGATCAGTTAGAAATATGCATAATTAGATCATATTATATGTAATTTTCATGCTAGACATCCGTATTAAATCTATGTAAATTGACTATTTTAGTATACATGACCCTTAATGAATTTAGTTATGCAAAATATAATGGATATTTCTTTGATAATATCTTGATATAGCTAATGGAGGAGATTATTTAGATATATCTTTATTCATGATATAAAAAGTTTAAAATGTGCTTATTTTTATGAGCTATATCAAGATATTAGAAATGAATAAAGATATATCTAAATAATTAAAGATGTGGGATGAAAGACTTGGTAAGAAAATATTAGAAATGAATTTCTTTTATTAGATTAAAATGAGAATTTAAAAGGCGTGGGATAAAGACTTGATGTTGTTGTTGCATAAAATTTGGCCATTTTAAAATAATCTAATTGAGATTAAATAAATAGGGCTTTGGGTATAAAACAAATTATGTATAAATCTAACTATATATTTTTAATTTCATTTTTTTTTTTTTTGAAGGAATAGATATGTGAAAAAATAGTTATAAGATATGATTATGAACTAACAAATGCAATTAAATGTGAGATTGTAGGAACAATAATTAAATATGTGGGTCTATATATATAATTAAATATGTTGCATAGGCTATCTTAAAATTTAACCTTTCTAAAGTGATCTAATTGAGATTAAAGAAATAGGGCTATGGGTAAATTATAGGCTAACTATGTATAGAGACCTAATTTAATAGTTCTGATTATGTTGGGCTAAAGTAGAAATATGAAAAAATAAACATAAAATAAGGTCATGATTCTCAATTCATATAGATAAAATACATCGCACCCTATGGAAGGACAGCTCAATCACATCCTGTTGTATTTTCTCATTCTCTCTGGCATCCCATAATTAAAGATTAAAAAGACTCTTTTCTAAAGAAAATCGTACTGAATTAGAAGATTAATAGCCCTTAATCGTCTTCCTTCCATTGATTAAGATATGATTCCGTTCATTCTATCTCGGTGATTTGACATGAAAATTTTTTAATGAATATAACTTATTTCATCGAAATTCCAGTTATCTCTTCTCATTCTAACATGCACAACATTACAAATTATTTCCACCAGAAGTAGCTATAAGGAAACTTACTGAACTATGATCAACTGAAGAATTGCTCCTCAAATGGACGCCCAAGGGCCACTTCCTGGCCCTTCTACCAGTTGCATCTATCTACAATGTAAGATCCACATGCACAATCGTTAGAATGACAGAACTGCTGGGCGGAGGCTTTTCTTGAAGCTTCACAGCCAACCCATAGCTAGATATTGCAGTACCCTCTTGTTTCCCCTTAGCAGTTCATAAAATAGCTAGCGGTTCTGCACCAAAACCGCCAAAACCCCAAAGTTCATAATCCTTCTCTATCTCGCAAGCCGCATCCTCCTCCCCTAATCCCCTCAACCCCTTTATCATAAACTTAAACAAGTACTCATTCGGCTCGCAACCTCCTCTCTTCATCATCTCATACACGTCCTTCACTGCCTTCCCCTTTCCTGCCGCAACCAGCGCCTTCACGAGCCGAGCGGGACCGCGGAGATCTCCAGACAGAGCACCCCCACCCATTTGTAACTCTTCCATGAGCTCCACCATTAGGATATCAATCTCAGAATCCCTTTTGCTCCTCGTCAGAGACGAAACCATGTCGGCGTAGAGCGCGCAGTCAGTCCTATACCAGTTTTCCCGACGCGCGACCTCAAATAGTTTGAGGGCCAGCTGCCACTGATCCTGCCTCTGGAGCTCGGTAAGGGCGGCAAGGAGGTCGGCCCTGATGAGGCGAGCCACGGAGGTGGAGACGATGCGTTCGACGGCCGCCTCATCATTGCGCGCACGTTTGAGGGCTTGGACGGTGAGAATGGCTTCGGTGCTTAGCGTCCGGCCTCGGCGTATTGGCTGGCGATTGTCCCGAGGTCCCGATACGATTATTGAGGTGGAGGAGGACGTGGGGTTAGGGTTTCTGAGAAAAAGGTTGGTGACGTGGAAGCGAGGAAAAGATGGGCGTTGGAAGAAAGGCGGCAATGGCGTCAAGGGTGATGCAGCGGCAGCGGTGGCCGCCATTAGGTTTGTTCAGGTTGAGAAGATAACAAACTATGCTGGACCGTAGAAATTTAGTTATTATTTGACGTAATTTTGGATTTAAATTTAAATTTATTTATTAATTAAAAATTATATTATAAATAACATAATTTGCAAGATTTTGAAAATCGACCGGTTCGAGCAGTCGAACTGGATAATGTAATAAATAATAATATTATTAAAATTTATAAAATGAACCATAAATTTTCTTCTAATAACTTCACTCTATATTTCATTTTTATATTAAACTAATCAAATAACATAAATATTGCATCAATTAAATTTATAAAACATAAAAAAATAACACAATATAAACGTGTCATCAAATAAGTCAATAAAATATAAACAAATATTTCATACATAAATAAATAGCTCACTAAACGAGAAATTTTTTAGAAATGCATATCTTTTGTGGAGTTCTATTGTGTGTTACGTGTTGAGGAATGCATATCATCTTAAGTTCTATTTTTCTAAAATGTATAAAAGAAATTTTTGAGATCTTATAGTTTCTATCTCCAATCAGCGAAGCTAAAATATCTGAAAATGTACACATAATATGAAGTAAATAAGCAGAATATTATGTGACACTTTACACTAACTGATAAAAAAAACATTCATAATACATATATGAAGTTACTAATGTTTATCTTTCTTATTTCAATAATTTTAATAATTCCACAAAAGGATAATTAGATATCTCTTAGTTTTTTTCGTGAAATATATCATCATAAGTTGAGTTTTCATGTCCCATTTTACCAAAATCTGCATCTACAAATGCACCTAAATCTCCATTTCCTTAATTCTCTAGTTCACTTTCAACAACAAATTAAAAAAATATTAAATAATATTATACTTTTTTAATCTATTTAAATGATATGTTCATATTTCACTTATCAGGTATAGACTGAGTGGATGCTATATTTGCTTATTCAACAACAGGTATTGCAACGTCTTTGTATGTCTCGATTTTCAACTCCTCTAAGTCAAGATCTGTAGGTGATTCCTCATCAAGCACCAAAAAATCTACCATTTTAACATAAGTATAGTCCAGAGGATCATAGCTTCTTTTTTTAAATGAAACCTATTGCGGGCTAGAATATACGATGCGATAGAGTTTTGAATTTTTCGTCTTAGTGTTGTACGGATATCCAGCATATAGACAGAAAAGATATAACACACAAATATTTTTACATGGAAATCCTGGAAAGGAAAAAATCACGGGGCCACGCCCAGTTGAGAGAATTCCACTAGTATTTACTTGAGATACAAGATGCTCACTCATCCTTGAAATTTACGATGATCAGATTACATTGATTAAAATCTAGTTACAAACAAGAATTTGAGATTCAATGATGTTGTGTATTTGAGCTGAATCCTAGAGTCACTTGGAGATCGAACAGAATTTCAGCATCACTTCGAGATCGGGCGGAGTTTCGGCATCACTTGGAAGTCAGGCGTAACTTTGGTGTCACTTTAAAGTCGAATGCAACTTTGGCGTCACTTAAAAGTCGGATGAAACTTCGGTGTCACTTGGAAGTCGGGCAGAATTCCGACGTCACTTGAAAGTCGGGCGGAACTCCGACGGTGGACGAGGAGGAGCTTTTTCCATCATCTTCTCTTCTTCTTCTTCTTCTCTTCTCCTCTTGCTTGGGTCCTCTCTTAAGAGAAATGAGGGGCTATTTATAATTTTTTGAGGATGGCATGACCCGTAAATAGGAGAAGGATCAAAGACAAATGGGGAGTGGTTTGGATGGACAGTCGATATTGAATCCCTTGATTGTTGACCATTCGCCAGATATTTGAAGGTCTTAATTATATCAAAATTTGATGATCTTAGGCTCGTTGGATTCGTCTTGTCGATCCGCTCGATTCAACTATAAGCATGTCATGTTTGCAAAACATTTGGTAATCCAAGTTGTGGTTTGAACCTCCCAATACCACTTCAGGTCTTTGATTTAGACACATTTGGGCTCGGACTGAGTTGAATTTTGTGTCATTGAGTTTGTATTTTTGAGACGTTCAGTTCAACTATAAATTTGTTGAAATAGGAGCTCAGTTTATCCTAATTTTAATTTTTGAAACTTCCAGCCTAATTTTGTCTCGAGATTCATGCTTGATCAAGATAATTTTTTGATTATATATCAAAACCTAAGAATGAAACAATAATTTTAATGATATTTGTACATATATATAGCATGATATATTGACACACATATATGTTATAATAAAATTATGCATATTGTTTTAAATTTAGATTATATCGAATATAAATGAGGTCGTTCAATCTTTGATGCTCCAAATGATTATATCTTTTTGAGTGAATTTGTTCAAAAATACTCCAATTTTGTTTGCAGCTTGATGATGATGATGTTTGATTTTTAGAATTCTTATAGCTACTTTCAGCAAGTTGGGAGCTCCTGATCCAAACATGTTCCACCACTCATCTACATAATTTGATATTAGAGAACTTAGTAAATAAGCATATATGTTAAAAAAAGGTATAAACATTGGCAATGAAAAGATAAGTACTAGGTTGAATTTCCTTTGCTATCATTAGAGCAATTAATTTTTTAAAACTTTCTAAGTTATCTCAGAATAATCTGACCTCACTCATTACAAGTGTATGTTTATGACAAATGTCCTTATTATCAAGTAGTTCAATAAGGCCTTGCATAACTTCTTGCTTATGACAATAATACAATACTTCTCCTTGTTATATTGAATTTGAGGATTCAAAAAGTATGTTGTTGCATGGATGCCCTGTCTTAATTGAGTATCCAATTTTCTTTTAAATATACTATTGAATGGCTTATACAATCTTTTAATATTTCTAGATATACCTTTGATTACCTTTCGTGCTCTATACATTCCATCATATAGATATCCAAGTGGAGGTTTCTCGTCTAAGTCATCAATGCACAACAACCTGATCAAATGACCTGCTAGCTTTTAAATTGTTAAACAATCATTCTAAAACTTCAAATCTAAGATTATTACAGCTGCCTTTTCCTCCTTATAGGTGTTTAATATCTTTGAATCTGCATAAAATTTGCTAATAATTAATGCATGTAGATCATATTTATGCTCATAAACACTCTTCAAGGTTATTAAAGTTGTTACATACAGTATGGGTCATGGATGTACGATCTCTTTCTAATCTGGCCTTTTCCTAAGCCATGCAAGTACATAAATATGATTATAAGCAAAAATCATCACATTGGATACTTTCCTTGATAAGGCATCAATGAGAGGCATGTTGCCCAAGTCTTTTAAAATCAAATTCAAATAATATGCAACACAAGATGACTAATAGATATTATTAAATCTTTCATGTAATAACTCTCCTGCTTTTTTGTAATTAGCAGTATTATCAGTGACAAATTGAATAATATTTTATGGCCTTACCCACTCAACAACTTTAGTAAATAAGGAGCACAAGTTCTTAGCATCTTCAATGATATATGAAGCATCCACAAATTTCAAAAAAGATACACCACGAGGACTATAAATCATAAAATTTATTAATGTTATACTCCTATCATCAGTTCATCCATTTGTCATGAGAGTACAACCCATGTCCTTTCAAGTATTTATATAGCTATCAATGAGTAATCTACACTCCTCTTTACAATCCTTAAGTAGGTTAACCTTTATGTTGTAATAAGAGGGGAGCTTGTAACTAGGATCTATAGCAGTTATAGCATCCATAGCTTTCTGTGCATATTGTAAATTTAAGGCATTTAAAGGGATGCAATAATCAAAAAATTATTTTGCTACAATTATGTCTGCATGGTGAACTACTTTATTAGAGGCCAAGATACTTTTAATTTAAGATTGGGAACCTGATTTTGTTCTTGGAGCAAAGAAAGTGTCAATATCAGCAATCTTTCTTTTCCCCTTAGCGAGTTCTGATAGATTTGCTTTACAGGATTGTGATTTAGGTAGGGAAGAATAATCTCTTCCTCTACTTCAACATTTATTGGAAAAGGTGTCCTGTCCAACTCCTGTACTTGTTATTTTCTTTTTGAAATCTCTTTTAAGTTCTCATGCATTTGAAATTGAACATCATGTGGAACCTTCTTACAGGCTGCTATATTGCCCTTAACTTTTGTTAGATGCTGTTTCATGTATTTATTCCTCCTCCTTTGTATGTAATACCATAATGCAAACATTTGAATTGTCTCTTCACATTAGTTCCTTCAATCTCAATGAAATGATTTCACGTAATATCCACTTTCTCGTGCACAATACAACTGGAAGCTACACTCTAAGTTCCAGATGCTTCCATTCTCATATGATCAACTAAATTGAATTAACACAATTTTATGTTCATATGAATTTAAATGGAAATAGATGAAAATAGTCTAAATAGATGATTTAAAATCTACACTTTTCACTAAACATCTCAATATTAAGAAAACTAAAGCATCTTAAGGTTCTCATTCAAAAAAGAAGATGAAACATAACAAATTAAAAGATACTTCTATTAGTAATAAAAGATTAAGAAGCATAAAAATATCAAAATGATAATTTAAATGACAAGTTTCAATTCTCTTCTGTGCAGTTCCCGGACAGGATGACCAAACAACATTGCATTGGGGGAGGAATGCAGAGTGCAGACCTATTGTCGAGCCTATTTTATGCGTTGGGCATTGAGGAGTGCATACCATTTTCAGTTCTTTTTCTCTAGCATGTAAAACTGTTAAAAATGAAATGATTTTTTTTAGATCTTATACTTTCTATCTCCAATTAGTGAAGCTCTAAAAATAAAATAAATAAAAGATACTCATCATAATTGTGTATATAATATGATGTAAATAAGCAAAACATTATAGCAAGATTATGACACTTTACACTAACTGATAAGAAAAAAGACTACACATTCATAATACATATATGAAGTTACTAATATTTATCTTTCTTATTTCAATAATTTTAATAATTCAACAAAATGAAAATTAGATATCTCTTAGTTTTTTTTCGTGAAATATATCATCATAAGTTGAGTTTTCATGTCCCGCTTTAT